CTTTTGTTTAATTTAACCTGCTAAAAGCCATCGTTCCGTTTTCGAAACAATAAGAGTCTCGTACGTTACGAATGAGATAATTTTATATTAATAACTAATCTCCCGCTACCTGGCTTCATTTTCAAATCGCGGATGCCATACATTGTAATTATTATAGAATAAACGCGAAACCCAGAGTGCCTGTGCGCGCCGCCGGGGTTATTACGCTGCTGCAATGTATGCTCGCGTGCCCACATACATACAGATACCAGACGCGCTGCATGCATACGTATATACAGAGGGGCGAAAGGGACAGCTACAACTGCGCGTCTTTCACGTGTGCCGCGGACGCAAATATTGTTATTATTGTTTACGATCGACGAGGAGGTGCATCTCCGCGCGCGCGGTGCGCGGCGCTCGGTTCTAACTCACTCTTAAGAAAGCATTGTTTGCATTTCATTGCCTATGCGCCTTTGCGTAATACCGCAATACCGCCGCTTGCACGGGACGGCGGCCACGCTTACGAGTCTTACGACGATCCTTAATTCTAAGCGACAGAGCATGTGACAGAGACGCGAATACTGAGATGGATTTTCGAAGAAAAGAATATTTTGCACATTCGCGAATATAATCATGGTAAACTATAGTTAATTTACTTGCTCGTACTTCAAAGTTTAATGACACCCCTATACTATATCACGATATTTATAACATTATTTCAAATGAGAATTTAAAAAAATCTATAAAGTCTCATGTAGATATCGAATTGCAATTTTCTGACTCCTCTAAAGCAAGTGAGCGTGAATAAACGAATGAAGAATTTGGTTCAATGAGCGTGACTGAAGCAAATTGTTTATTCGTGTTTGTTCACGCTCGCTTGCTTGGATCGGGCTCAAGAGATAACTGGCAAGAATTATCTAAAGGTTGTTGTTAACAACGAATTTGGTGTAGATAAAGATGTTTCGAAATTATATCGCTTTTATAAACAAAGATTATCGCGCGCATATGCGAATGTAGATTAGAATACGATTTATTAATAGTAAGATTGTTACAGAAATAAAGAAGCAGAGTGTAGGCGTAAAAGAATTAAACGATAAAAAAATTACAACAGAAAATTAAGAAAATATTGTAGTGCATTCTTAGAGAAATGCAAGGAAAAAAAATTTCCACAAAATCCTACATGACTCCAATCTCTCTCTCTCTCTCTCCTC